CAAGGGAGAGGACACTTGGAGACAGGGCAGGAGCCCAGGACTCAGCAGGAAGAGCGTTTTGTGTACTTGGACTGTGAGGAGATAAAACCCCAAGGAGTTTTTTGTTGGGGGTCCTTCCTCGAGGCACCAGCTCAGCCTGTTTTTGTGTTTCTTCACAAGAAAGAAATTGTTTTACTGTTTTTAAGACATCAGAGACTCTTCCATGGGAAAGCTGGGGTGGAAGCAGTGAGGAAACCTGGTCTGACTGTGAGAGTGGGGGTGTGGGGAGTCACAGGGGATCCGTTGGGTCACTGGAGCTGCTGCTGCTGGGAAGGGGCCTGAGGGTCAGCAGTGCCAGTCTGGGCTGGTGGGAGAGTGACTGCCAGGGAGTCTTGGGAATGGTGAGCCTGGGAAGTTCCCTTAAGAGTGTGAGGGGGATCTGGTGTGCAGAGACCCCCAGGAGCCCCCTGAGCCGCTCTGCTCATGGCAAGGATACAGAGAAGGCAGAGTTACTGAACACCTTTGCCCTGACAAGACCAGCCCTCAGGGATCTCTGGCCCAGGAGACCTGGATATAGGAATGTTGGAAGGAAGACCTTCCATTGTTCAAGGAAGATTGGGTCAGAGAACACCTCAAATAACTCCACACCCACAAGTCCATGGGACACTTCATGACCTCCTGTCACCAAGGGGACCCTGTGACACTGGGGCACCTCGTGGTTATCAGTCTCTTCCAAACGTTGTGTGCAACTACAGAGAGGCAAAACAGTGGAGCCTGAGCGTGTGGATCCAAACTCTTCCCATCTCACCTGAAGATGTCCCTGCTAACAGAGGTCCTGTGTGTTCCCTCTGCTCTCTGGGCACTTGCATCCTTTGAGAGCTGCCCATCACTCTGGTAGCCAAGAGCACAGGGCAGGGGATCCCCTGGAGGGGGAATAGAGACATCTTTCCTAGATCACCTTGCTCAGAGCCCCATCCAACCTGGCCTTGAATGTTTGCAGGGATGGGGCATCCACCACCTCCCTGCAAATGTGTTCCTGTGTTTCAGCATTCTCACTCTAAAATATTTCTTCTTTATCTCTAGTCTGACCTAATCTTTTTGTAGTTTAAGCCTCTCAGCCCCTGTCCTATTGTGACAGGCCCTACTGAACCCTTTGCCCACATGTTTCTAAAAAGCTGCCTTGAAGTACTGGAAGGCCCCAAGGAGGTCTCCCCACAGCCTTTTCTTCTGCAGGCTGAAGAGCCCCCACTCTCTCAGCCTGTCTCCATCCGAGAGGTGCTGCAGCCCTGGGATCCCCTTGGTGGCCTCCTCTGGAAGTGCCCCAAGAGGTGCGTGTCTTTGCTGTGCTGAGGAGCCCATGGAGCTGCAGGAGATGCCAGGGCTGGCAGGGGAATCCCCCCAAGCCATTGCCATTGCGGGTGGGTGCGTTGCAGACAGCCAGAGGAGCCCAGAGCTGGAGGCAGCACTGCAGGGGGGTCTCAGCTGAGCGGAGCAGAGGGGCACAACCCCCCTCCCCTGCTGCCCACGCTGTGGGATGAGCCCAGGACACGGGGGGGTTGTGGGCTGTGAGCTCCCATTGCTGGCTCCCATCCTGCTTTTCATCCCCCACTATCCCGATGGCCTTGGATGCAGGGCTGCTCTCCATCCCTTCAGCCCCGAGCCTGGCCCTTGAGATCTGGGGGCATTTGACACCTGCTGGCTCCTTTGATCCCCTTTCCCATCCCTCCCAGAGCCCAGGGAAGGACTGAGGGACCTTGGCTGATTGTCCCTGACCCTCCCCTGCCCCGACACCAAGCTGTGCTCCTTGGGGACGGAGCTTGGACAGCCCCAGTCAGACCCTGTTTCCCGCCGTGCCCCCAAAGCACCGGGTGCCCCAGGGGCCGTGGGAACACCCATGGACACAGGAATGCACATTGAGTGGGAACACACCCACCCAGACAGGCCCAGAGCATTGCTTTGCATCGGGAGTTTATTGATTCTTGCAGGGAAATTCCCAGGGCACCCAGGGGATCAGGGGTGTCCTCCAGGGATGATCATCTCCTCGTGCCGCTGGAGGGGGACAGGGCACGGGTGTCACCACCAGCCCTGAAAGACAGAGCCCAAATCGCCCCCCCCAAAGGCCACTGCAACACGAGAGGGGCCTTGTCCTGCCCCCTCTCCCTGCAGGCCCTGCTCCCCTCAGCAGCCCCGGCTGAGCTGTCAGAGCAGAGTCGGGACGGCCGAGGAAGGTACCGGAGTCAGTTGTGTGCAGGGAAGATCTCTCCTTCCTCGGCATTTTCTCAGCTGCTTTTTTATCCCCCTCGCTGGCAGCAAGCAGGGTCCTTATTTTAGGTAACAAGCCACAGCCTTTTCATTGGCTGGGTTCTCTGGGCGACACATTTGGCAAAGCTCAAGGACCCTCCAACCCCCCCAAAAATTAACGGGGACCCTCCCAAAAACTAAGGGGACCCTTGCCCTGCCTCCCCCAAACTCCCCCTTCCCGGTTTTTGGGGCTCCCGCGGCTCTTCCCGTGTTTTTATGGGATCCCCGGCCACGCCCCCTCCCCGTGGCCACGCCCCCTCCCCGGTGGGTGTGGCCGGGGGGAGATCCCAGATAAGATCTTTGGGAAGGGGGGGAAGGGGGAGATTTATTGGGATTTACTGGGATTTACTGGGATTTAATAGGATTTACTGGGATTTACTGGAATTTATTGGGATTTATTGGGATTTCCTGGGATTTATTGGGATTTTTCCCCATTTTTCCCATTTTCCCTGATTCCCCCTCCTTTTTTCTCTCCCCATTTTTCTCATTTTCTCCCATTTTCCCTCCCCATTTTTCTCATTTTCTCCCGATTTTTCCCATTTTCTCCCCATTTTCCCTGATTTTCTCCCATTTTTCCCAATTTCCCCATTTTCCCTCTCCCATTTCCCCCATTTTTCCTCCCATTTTCCCTGATCTTCCCTCACTTTTCCTTCCCCATTTTTCCATTTCTCTCCCATTTCCTTCTCTCATTTTTCCCATTTTTCCCATTTTCTCCCATTTTCCCCATTTTCCCCGACTTTTCCCTCCCTATTTTTTCCATTTTCTCTCTGATTTTCCCTGATTTTCCCCTCCCTATTTTTCCCATTTCCCCCCATTTTTCCTGATTTTTCCCCACATTTTCCTCCCCATTTTCCCTGATTTCCCCTCCCCATTTTCCCCCAATTTTTTCCCATTTCTCCCTGATTTCCCCCCATTTTTCCTGATTTTCCCCCCATTTTCCCTCCCCCATTTTTCCCATTTTCTCCCCATTTTCCCTGATTTCCCCCATTTCCCCTCCCCATTTTCCCCCAATTTTTTCCCATTTCTCCCTGATTTCCCCCCATTTTTCCCACTCCCTCCTTTCCCTCCCCCATTCCCGGTCCCGCTCTGCGCCCGCGAGAATTTGGGATCATTTGGGATCATTTGGGATCATTTGGGATAATTGAGGAGCGTTTGTTCCCAAAACAATGGACGGGGGGAGAGGGGGGACCCCCAAAAATGGGGGGGGCACCCAGAGACCCCAAAAATGGGGGAGGACCCCAAAAATTGGGGTCCCGGGGGGGATTTTGGGGATTATTGAGGGAATTTTGGGGTCCCTGGAGAGGATTTTGGGGTCCTTGGGGGCGATTTTTGGGTCTTTGGAGGGAATTTTGGGGTCCCTGGAGAGATTTTGGGGTCCTTGGAGGGATTTTGGGGGTCCCTGGGGGGGAATTCTGGGGTCCTTGGGGGGGATTTTGGGGTCCCTGGGAAAAAGTTTGGGGGTTATTGGGGAATTTTGGGGTCCCTGGGGGGAATTTTGGGGGTTATTGAGGGAATTTTGGGGTCCAAGGGGGAATTTTGGGGTCCCTGGAGGGATTTTGGGGGTCCCGGGGGGGAATTTTGGGGTCCTTGGGACCGATTTTGGGGTCCCTGGAGGGGATTTTGGAGTCCCTGGGGGAGATTTTGGGGTCCCTGGAGGGATTTTGGGGGTCCCGGGGGGAATTCTGGGGTCCTTGGGGGCGATTCTGGGGTCCTTGGGGGGGAATTTTGGGGTCCCTGGGGGGGAATTTTGGGGTCCTTGGGGGGCACTCGGGGGGGGGAACCTCCAAAAATAGGGAGGTCACCCAAAGACCCCCAAAAATTGAGGGAGGGGTCACCCAAAAACCCCCCAAAATTGGGGGGGGACTCTCCAAAAATAGGGCGGGAGGACCCCCAAAAATGGGGACGGGGGCACCCAAGGACCCCCAAAAATTGAAGGGGGGCACCCAGAACCACCCCCCTCCCCCAAATCCTTTCTCTCCCTCCCCCCACCCCAAAATTCCAGGAATTTGGGGCCCTTCCCCCTCCCCCCCCCAAATTCCGGCTCTGGTCCCGCCCCCCCCCTTAATTGCTGAGCAAAGGAACGGGCGGGGCTGGGGCACCGCGGCCCCAAAAATAGGGACCCCCCCGCCCCCAAACCCCCCCGGATCCCTCGGACCCCCCCAAAATTTGGGCCCCGCCGGATCTCTGGGACCCCCTCAGACCCCCCCGGGGACCCCCCAAAATCTGCCCTCCCCATACCCTGTTACCTGGGTAGACCTGATGTCCCAAACACACCTGAGACCCCCCCAAAAAACTCACCTGGGACCCCCCAGCACCCACAGGTGACCCCCCGGACACCCCCAAATACCTGAGACCCCCCCAAAATTTGGGACCCCTCGGATCTCTGGGACCCCCTTCCCACACCCTGAGGAGGGTCTTGGAATATTTGGGGGGGTCTTTGGGGGGTGATTTTGGGTCCCTGTCAGGATTTTGGGGGTCCCTGGGGGGGAATTTGGGGGTCTTGGGGGGATTTGAGAGTTACTGGGAGCACTGGGGGGACACTGGGAGGTTACTGGGAGGCACTGGGGGGTTACTGGGAGGGACTGGGAGGTTACTGGGAGGCACTGGGGGGTTACTGGGAGCACTGGGGGGAACTGGGAGGCACTGGGGACACTTTGGGTCTCTCCTCAAGCCCCGCCCCGACCACACCCCATCAGGCCACGCCCCATCAGGCCACACCCCCTCATCTGCAAGACCTTTATTGACAACCAGAACCCTCTCCCCCCTCATGGGCGGGGCTCCTCTGGCTCCTCCCCTTCTTCCGGTGTGGGCGTGGCCAAGGACAGTACCGCCCCCCTCCAGCGCTCCAGCCAATGGGAGAACGGGATGCGGCCGGGGGGCGTGGCCTGGATGTGCTGGGCGGGGAGGTCCCACCTGGAGGGCGTGGCTTAGCCAGGAGGGGGTGTGGCCAAGCCAGGGAAAAGCCACACCTCCTCTAAACAAGCCACACCTCCCAATGAAGCCACACCCCTCCAAAATTAAACCACGCCCCAAAAGCCACAACCTGCAAGTTGAAGCCACACCCCTCCCAATCCAGCCATGCCCACTTTGATGAAGCCACACCCACTTAAAAATTAAATCACACCCCCACTGAGACCACACCCACAATCAAGCCACACCCCCTCCAAGTCAAGCCACACACAAAATGAGGCCACACCCCCTCAGAAATAAGCCCCACCCCTCATCAATTAACCCACACCCACTCTAATTAAACCACACCCCCTCCCCACCAGGCCACGCCCCTTCCCAATTAAACCACCCTAATCAAGCTGCCCCTTAATTAGGCCACACCCTTTCCTATTAAGCCACACCCCTAAGGTGAAGTCACACCCCCTAATTAAGCCACACACCCACTAATTAAAGTCACGCCCCCAAACCTCACACATCTTATAATCAAGCCACACCCCCTCCCAGTGAGGCCCCACCCCCAGGGGGCGTGTTCTGGCTCGCCATTGGCTGGCGGTGTCCAGGAGGCGGGGCCAGCCCTCGAGACACTCCTGGCACTTGTCACTGACCAATCGCAGCCTCTGCAGCAGCTCAGGGGCGGGGCCCGGGAAGGGGCGGGGCCCAATAGGACACACCTCCTTTGAAGGAGGAGGCCCCTCCCCCTTTTTGGGAAGCCTTGCCCCCTTTTTGGGAAGCCCCGCCCTCCGGAGCTCGTGGCGGAGCTCGGCCACGCGGTGCAGCAGGAGGGGGAGGGGCTGGGGGAGGGAGGGGGTGGGGCCAGGTCAGGCCACACCCACACCAGAGCCACACCCACTTTCACAAAGCTCCTCCCCTCAGTCTCAAAACCACTTGGCCCTGCCCACTTTTGACCCCTCCCCCAACCCCTCAGGCCCCTCCCCCACCATTCCAGCCTCTTCCCCACACCCTAAGCCCCTCCCCCCCCCACCCCACCACCCCCCCCCACTCCCCCTGAAGCCTTTTTTTGTCCCCTTTGGCCCCACCCCCTTTAGCCCCTCCCCCACCCCTCCAATCCTTCCTCTTTTAAGCCCCTCCCCCCATTTGGCCCCTCCCCCACCCCACCCATCCCTCCCCTTTTAAGCTCCTCCCCCAACCCCTTATTTGGCCCCTCCCCCACCCTTCAGCCCCCTCCCCCACCCCTCCAGCCCCTCCCCCATCCCTCCATCTGGCCCCTCCCCCCACACTTAAGCCCCTCCTCCTTTATTCAATCCCCTCCCCCACCCCTCCCTTGGCCCCACCTCCATTTCAGCCCCTCCCCTTTCGAGCCCCTCCCCCTTTCCCCCAAGCCCCTCCCCCACCTGCTCGGGGCCCAATCCCAGGCTCCGCCTCAGAGAGTCGAGGGGGGAGGGGCCCGGGTGGGGGAGGGGCTCTCCCAGTGCTCCCAGTAAGAGGCGCCGGCGACGCCCCTCCCTCTCCAGCAGGGGAGGGGCCGAGCCGGGCCCCGCCCCTGCCGCCGAACGGACCTGCCAATCACAGAGCAGGGGCGGGGTCAGGGACTGTGGGGAGAGGGAACTGGTCCAGACTGGTTTGGACTGGTCTGTACTGGTTTGTAGTGGTCCATACTGGTCTGTACTGGTTCAGACTGGTTTATACCGGTCCATACCAGTCTGTACTGGTTCAGACTGGTTTATACCGGTCCATACCAGTCTGTACTGGTCTGTACTAGTTCATACTGGTTTATACTGGTCCATACCAGTCTGTACTGGTTCATACTGGTCTGTACTGGTCTATGTTGCCCCATACAACCTCGTACTGACCCATACCAGTCCATACTGGTCCGTGTTGGTCCACACCGGTCCGTACTGGTCTATATTGCCCCACACTGCCCCATACTGGTCTATACTGGTCCGTGCTGGTCCATACTGGTCTGTACTGGTCTATATTGCCCCATACAATCCCATACTGGTCAGTACTGGTCTATATTGCCCCACACTGCCCCATACTGGTCTATACTGGTCCATACTGGTCCGTATTAGTTTATACTGGTCCATACCACCCCACACTGCCCCACAGCAGTCCATACTGGTCCATACTGGTCTATATTGCCCCACACCAGTCCATACTAGTCTGTACTGGTCTATATTGCCCCACACCGCCCCACACCAGTCCATACTGCTCCATACTGGTCTATATTGCCCCACACCAGTCCATACTGGTCCGTACTGGTCTGTACTGGTCTATATTGCCCCATACCACCCCATACTGGTCCGTACTGGTCTATATTGCCCCACACCGCCTCACACCAGTCCATACTGCTCCATACTGGTCTATATTGCCCCACACCAGTCCATACTGGTCCGTACTGGTCTGTACTGGTCCGTACTGGTCTATATTGCCCCACACCGCCCCACACCACCCCATACTGGTCCATACTGGTCTGTATTGCCCCACACCAGTCCATACTGGTCCGTACTGGTCCATACTGGTCTGTACTGGTCTATATTGCCCCACACCACCCCATACTGGTCCGTACTGGTCCATACTGGTCTGTATTGCCCCACACCGCCCCACACCACCCCATACTGGTCCATACTGGTCCATACTGGTCTGTATTGCCCCACACCGCCCCACACCACCCCATACTGGTCCGTACTGGTCTATATTGCCCCACACCGCCCCACACCAGTCCATACTGGTCCATACTGGTCCACACTGGTCTGTATTGCCCCACACTGCCCCACACCAGTCCATACTGGTCCGTACTGGTCCGTACTGGTCTATATTGCCCCACACCGCCCCACACCACCCCATACTGGTCCATACTGGTCTATATTGCCCCACACCGCCCCACACCAGTCCATACTGGTCCGTACTGGTCCGTACTGGTCTCACCTGTCCCTGCAGGATCCGCAGCAGCGCTTGGCGCCCCCTGGTGGCAGCGCTGAGGAGCCGCAGCCGCCGCTGCCGCTGGAGCTGCGGGGGAGGGGTGGGGTTGGGACCCCCCCAAAAACACCCCCAGGACCCCCAAAATATCATCTGAGACCCCCCCAAACACAGGCAGGACCCCCAAAATACCCCCAGGACCCCCAAAAACCACCCTGGGATCCCCAAAAACCACCCGAGAGCCCCAAAAACACCCCTGGGACCCCCCAAAACCCAACCTGGGACCCCCAAAAACCCAACCTGGGACCCCCAAAAACCCAACTTGGGACCCACAAAAATCACTCTGGGAACCCCAAAAACAATCCCAGGACCCCCAAAACACCCCCAGGAGCCCCCAAAACCACCGTGGGAATCACAAAAAACAACCTGGGACTCTCCAAAAACACCCCTGGGACCCTCAAACCCACCTGGGACCCCCAAAAACCACTCTGGGACCCCTAAAATCCACCCTGGGACCCCCAAAAACCACTCTGGGACCCCCAAAATCCACCCTGGGAACCCCAAACCCCACCCTGGGACCCTCAAAATCCACCCTGGGAAACCCAAAAACAATCCCAGGACCCCAAAAACCCACCTGGGACTCCCCAAAATACGCCTGGGGCACCCAAAACCCACCCTGGGACCCCCAAAATCCACCCCTGGGACCCCCAAATCACCCCCAAATTTCCCTCAGGACCCCCCAAATTCCCCCCAGGACCTCCCAAGACCCCCCTCAAATTCCCCCAGGACCCTCTAAATCCCCCCTAACTGCCCCAAGATCTCCCAGATCCCCCCTAACGTCCTCCAGGACGCCCCAAATTCCCCCCAGGGATCCCCCAAATCCTCCCTAAACCCCCCCAATCTCCCCCAGGAGCCCCCAAATCCCCCTCAAATCCCCCCCGGACCCCCTAAACTACTCCAGGACCCCCCAAATTCCCCCCAGGACCTCCCAAATCCCCCTCAAGTCCCCCTAAACCCCCTCAGATCCCCCCAAGTCCCCCCAATCCCCCCTGAATCCCCCCAAACCCCCCCAAATCCTCCCTAAACCCCCCCAAAACCCCCCCAAATCCTCCCAGGACCCTCCAAATCCCTCCCAAATTCCCCCCAAATCTCCCCTAAACTCCCCCAGGACCCCCTAAACTCCCCCAGATCCCTCCAAATCCCCCTCAACATGCCCCAAATCCTCCCTAAACTCCCCCATTACCCCTCAAATTCCCCTCAGGACCCCCCAAATCTCCCCTAAACCCCCTCAAATCCCCGCAAAATTCCCTAACCCCCCCAGAATCTCCCCCAGACTCACCACTCTGCGCCTCCCCCGCCGCAGGCGCTGCCGGAGCACCCCCGGGGGGGGTTTGGGGGTCCCCCAGACCCCCCCTCAGCTCCTGCACCCTCCGGGTCAGGGACCCCCGGACCCCCCCCAGATACGCCCGGGTCAGGGCCAGCCTGGGGGGGAGGGGGGACCCAAAGTTAGGGGGAATTTGGGGGTCCTTGGGGGGTTGGGAGGGATCTGGGGGGTCCTGGGGAGATTTGGGGGGGATTTGAGGGGTCCTGTGGAGGGTTGGGGGGGATTTGGGGGGTCCTGGGAGAGTTCAGGGGGAGACCTGGGGGGTCCTGGGGTGGTTTGAGGGAAATTTGGGGGGTCCTGGGGGGGTTTAGGGCATATTTTGGGGGGTCTGGGAGGGTTTGGGGGGGATTTGAGGGGGTTTGGGGGGGTCCAAGGGGCAATTTGAGGGTCCCGAGGGGGGTGGTTTGGGGGTCCCAGAAGGGGAATTGGGGGTCCCAGAGTGGATTTTGGGTTCCCAGTGGGGGATTTTGGGGTCCCAGAGTGGATTCTGGGGGTCCCAGGGAGGTTTTGGGTTCCCGGGGGGGGGTTGGGGGTCCCAGAATGAGTTTTCGGGGTCCCAGGTGGGAATTTGGGGGTTCCAGAGTGAATTTGGGGGATTCCTAGAGATGGATTTTGGGGGCTCCAGGGGGGATTTTTGGGTCCCAGGGTGGGTTTTGGGGGTCCCAGGAAAGGTTTAGGGGGTCCCAGAAGGAGTTTCAGGGGTCCCAGGGGGGAATTTGGGGGTCCCAAGGTGGGTTTTGTGGGTCCCAGGATGGGTTTTGGGGGCCCCAGGGGAGGTTTTTGGGGTCCCAGGGTGGATTTGGGGGTCCCAGAGGGATTTTGGGGGTACCTGATGTTGGGGTCCCCCCCCAGTTTTGGGACCAGCTCATTGAGGTTCCGCTGGAGTTGGTTGAGTTGGAAAATGAGGGGGGGCAACGACCCCCAAATCCCCCCCACGAGCATGCAACCCTCCTGGGGGGGCAGAGATCCCAACATTAGAGGAGAAGCCCCCAAAGTTCACACAGGAGCCCCTAAAATCCACCCAGGAGATCTCAAAACTCCCCCAAAATCCCTCCCAGACCCCCCAAAAATGACCCATAAACCTCCCAAATGACCCTTGACCCCCAAAACTCCCCCAGACCCCCCAAAATCCCCCCCGACCCCTCAAAATGACCCTTGACCCCCCAAAATCCACCCCAAAACACCCCAAAATCCCCCCTTTACCCTTCAAGTCTCCCCCAAATCCCCCTTCAACCCCCAAAATCCCCCTCAGAGCCCCCAAAATCCCCCATGAACCCCCCCAAGTGACCCTTGAGCCCCCCAAGGCCCCTCAGGCCCCCCCTGAACCCTCCAAAATGACCCTTGACCCCCCAAAATTCCCCATAAACCCCCCAAAATGACTCTTGGCCCCCCAAAATCCCCACAGACCCCCCAAAATCCCCCCCTGGACCCCTCCAAACCTCACCTGGATGAGCTCCTTTGTGGTGGGCGGAGCCTCAGGTGAAGGGGCGGGGCTTGCCCTCAACATCCTGCAATGGAAGACCTCATTCAGGCCACGCCCCTTTACCCAAGGCCACACCCCCAGCCACAAGCCCCACCCCTGAAGCCCCCCATTCCTCTTGGCCCCACCCCCAGCCATAAGCCCCTCCCCCTGCTGTCCATTGGTCCCTCGTTTAAGCCCCACCCCTAAAATCATTGGCCACGCCCCCTTTAGGAAACCACACCCCCAAGCTGTGGCCACTCCCCCAGTTAAGCCCCACCCCCTTCCTTGGCCACCCTCCCAATTAAGCTCCACTCCAAATCAGCTGTAACTACTCCCCAAATCTGTGGCCACACTCACTTCCTCAAGCCCCACCCCAAGCCTTTGATCACACCCCCACATTAAGCCCCACTCCCAAATATTCAGCCACACCCTTTCCCTTAAGCCCCACCCTCAATTCCTTGGCCACACCCCTTCTGTTAAGCCCCACCCCTAAACCCTTGGCCACACCCACTCCCTTAGGCCACACCCCCACCCCTTGGCCACACCCCTTCACTCCCACTCCCAGCCACAACCTCCAAGCCCCACCCTCTCCAGGCCATACCCCTCCAAAGCCACACCCACCCACAGGCCACGCCCACACAGAGGCCACACCCACCTCGTGCTGTGATTGGCCAGAGCCTCCAATGCCCACAGAACCTCCTCGGGGTGGTACCGGCCCAGCTCGGCCTGTGGGAGGCGCTGAGCGTCACGGGGGGTGGGGCCGCACAGGGGACATGCCCACCCGGCAGTGGGACACGCCCACCTGGCAGCGGGACACGCCCACTTGGGGAACGGCTCAAAATCCCACCCAAATTCACCCAAAAATCAACCCCAAATTCAACCCAAATTCACTCAAAATGAGCCCCAAATCCCACTCAAATTGACCCAAAAATCAACCCCAAATTCAACCCAAATTCACCCAAAATGAGCCCCAAATCCCACTCAAATTGATCCAAAATTCAACCCCAAATTCAACCCAAATTCACCCAAAACTGAGCCCCAAATCCCACACAAATTGACCCAAAACTGAGCCCCAAATCCCACACAAATTGACCCAAAAACAAGCCCCAAATTCCCCCCAAATTCAGCTCCAAATCCGAGGCCCCGCCCACCCTGCCCAAGCCCCACCCACCTCAGCCTTTTCCAGCCAATCCTTGCGGAGCTCCTGTGGATCCCTGGAATGATTGACAGCTCAGGCATTGATTGATGGATGATTGACAGGCAGCTGGGCGTGGCCAGGAGGCAGGGGCGGGGCTTACCTGGTTGGTGGGCGGGGCTCCAGGAACTCCTCCCCCTCCCTGCTCATGCACAGGCTCCGGATCGAGGCCTGGGGGTGGGTGGGGCCTGTCAGGGAGGCCACGCCCTCCCAGCACAAGCCACACCCACCCAGAAAGGCCACTCCTACTGCAGGCCACGCCCCCAAACTCACCAGCACCTCAGGCTCCGCCCCCATTGCCATGGCAGCCGAAAGCTCCGCCCTTGTGCGGTGGGGCCTGGGGAGGACACGCCCACTTGGGAAACCCCACCCCCCGGCAACATATGCCACACCCACCCAGGTGGCCACGCCCACACCAGGAAGTTTCACCTCCCTTCCAGGAAGCCCCACCCCTTCTCCATCATGTCATGGAAGCTCCACCCCCTCCCCAAGCCCCACGCCTTTGGAAGCCACACCTGCCATAAACAAGCTCCACCCCTTTCCCAAGCCCCACCCACCCCACAAAGCCCCACCCCCTCCCCATGGGAGCTCCACCCCCTTTCCAGGCTCCACCCACCCCATGAAGCTCCACCCCTTTCCCAGCACAACATGCAAGCCCCACCCACCCCACATAGCCCCACCCCTTCCCCATTGAAGCCACACCCACTTCTTAGGCCACACCCCTTGGGAAGCTCCACCCCCTTCCCCACTGTAACAAGGAAGCCCCACCCACCACAATTAGCCCCACCCACTCCCCTCAGAAGCCCCGCCCCCTTGCAGGCCCCACCTCCTCACCTGTCCCGGGGCACCCTCAGTGCCCCCTGGAGGCCCTGCAGCCCCTCTGGCGCCAGCTCCGCCCCCAGCAGGCGAAGCTCCGCCCCCCGGTGACGCTCCACCCACAAGTGGCTCTGCCCCGCCCTCAGCAACTCCTCTGGGGGAAGAGAGGGGGAAAGGGGGGTCAGAGACCCCAAAATTGGGGTCAGGGACCCAAAAATGGGATCAGAGACCCCAAAATGGGGATCAGGGACCCCAAAAATGGGATCAGAGACCCCAAAATGGGGGTCAGGGACCCCAAAAATGGGATCAGGGACCCAAAAAATGGGAGGTTGGGAAACAAAAAAGGGGGTTTGGGACCCAAAAAATGGGATCAGAGACCCCAAAATGGGGGGTTGAGACCCAAAAATGGGATCAGAGACCCCAAAAATGGGGGGTTGAGACCCAAAAATGGGATCAGAGACCCCAAAAATGGGGGACCAGGGACCCTAAAATGGGAGTCAGAGACCCCAAAAATAGGGGCTGGGTCCCAAAAAATGGGGTCAGAGACCCCAAAAATGGGGGGCCAGGGACTCTAAAATGGGGTCAGAAACCCCAAAATGGGGCTTGGCACCCCAGAAAGGGCCCTTGGAAAGGTCAAGGAACCCCAACGGAGGGTTTGGGGCCCTCAGGGAACCCCTAAAATGGCTCCAGGACCCCCAAAATCACCCCAAGGGACCCCAAAACCACCCAAGGACCCCCCAACCCTCCACAAGGGACGCCCAAAGCCCCCTCAGGACCCCTCAAAAGAGCCTCAGGACGCCAATCCCTCTCAAAAGGAACGTTCGTGCGCGGCCGCGGTTTCCGGGCGGACTCACCGAGCCGCAGCGCCGCCTCCTGAGCGCCCCCTAGCGCCTGGTCCATGCGCCGCACCTCGGCGCGCATGCGCGACACCGCCTCGCGCAGCGCCCCCTGGCGGCCCGGAGGACTAACCGCGGTCTGCGGGGGGGACACCCCAAAAATGACCCAAATCCACCCCAAATTAACTCAAAAACTACCCAAATAACCCCAAAAATGAGCTCTGGGGACCCCAAAACCCAAGGAAGCCCAAAACCTCCCAAACTGAACCCCAATCTGGCCCAAATTAACCCAAAAATCACCCCAAATTCAACCCAAATTCACCCAGAATTGATCCAAAAATGAGCCAAATCTACACAAAATTAACCCAAAATCCGCCTAAAGCACCCCAAAAATGAGCTCTGGGGACCCCAAAAACCAAATGAACCCAAAACACCCCAAACTGGCTTGAATTCGGCCCAAATTAACCCAAAAATCACCCCAAATTCAACCCAAATTAACCCAGAATTGATCCCAAAATGACCCAAAAATCTGCCCCAAATTCACCCAAAATTCACCCAAAAATGAGTCCCAAATTTGCAACAAATTAACCCAAAAATGAGCCCCCAATCCCACCCAAATTAACCCAAAAATCAACCCAAATTCAACCCAAATTCACCCCAAATTAACCCAAAAGTGAGCCCCAAATTCAACCCCAATTCACCCAAAAATCAATCCCCAATTCAAAGCAAATTCACCCAAAAATAAGCCCCAAATTTGCCCAAAGAACAGCCCCAAATTCAACCCAAATTCACCCAAAATTACTCAGCCCCAAATTCCACCCAAATTCCCCCAAAAATCAACTCCAGGAACCCCCAAAATTAACCCAAATTCACCCAAAAACGAGCCTCAAATCCCATCCAAATTCACCCAGAAATCAGCTCCAAATTCAACCCAAACTCACCCAAAATTAACCCAAAAATGAGCCCCAAATTCAAAACAAATTAACCCAAAAATCAGCCCCAATTTCACCCAAAAATCAACCCCAGGAACCCCCAAAATTAACCCAAATTAACCCAAATGCTGCCAAAAATCAGCCCCCAAATCCCCCCCTAATTTTCAGGACACCCCCCCAAAATTTGGGGTCCCCCCCCTCACCTCAAGCTCCTGTTGGTACCTGAACTCAAGTTAAGGAACATTTTTTAGGGGGGGATCCCAAAATTTGGGGTGAAACCCCCCAAATTTTGGGACCCCCTACAATTTTAGCCCCTCCCCCAAATTTTTGGGATCTCCCCCAGAAATTTTAGGAGCCCCCAAATTTCCTCCTCCCCCGCTCCCCAAATTTTTAGGACTCCCAATTTTTGGCACCTTCCCCCCAATTTTGAGACACCCCCCCCCCCAAATTTTTGGGACCCCCCTCAATTTTTGGGACCCCTCCCTACTTTTGGGACCCCTCCCAAATTTTTAGGACCTCCCCCAAAAATTTTAGGAGCCCCCAAATTTTCCTTCCCCCCCGCCCCCAAATTTCTGGCCCTTTCCCCCCAATTTCAGGGACCCCCCCACAAAAATTTTGGGACCCCTCCCCAAATTATTGAGGTTTCCCTCAAATTTTGGGAACCCTCCCAAATTTCTTTTCCCAATTTTTGAGCCCCCCCAGTCCCCCAAAATTTTGGATACCAGAGCAGGTTTCCCCGAATCTTCTTCACGTTCCTGTGGGGACACCCCAAAATTAGGAACACCCCCCACATTTTGGGACATCTCTTCAAATTTTGGGACCCCTCCCCCAAATTTTAGGGACCCCCCTCAGGGGGGTTTTGGAGCTTCTCCCCCAATTTTGGGGGGTTTCAGGACCCTCCCTGGGGAGGGTTTTGGGGCCCCCCTGGGGGGGGGTTGGGATCTCCCCAATTTTTGGGGACCTCCCAGATTTTGGGGGACCCCCCCAGGGGCTTTTTGGGGTCTCCCCCTCAATTTTGGACCCTCTCCAAATTTTGGGGACTCCCCAAATTTCAGGTTCCCCCCAATTTTAGGGGGTCTCAGGGTCCTCCTGGGGAGGGTTTTGGGTACCCCCTGGTGGGGTTTTTGGTGTCTCCCCGATTTTTGGGGACCCCCCAGATTTTGGGGATCCCCCCAGGGGGTTTTTTGGGGTCTCCCTCTCAATTTTGGACTCTCCTCCAGTTTGGGGACCCCCCCAGTGGGGTTTTTGGGGGGATTTTAGGGCCCCCCCGGGGGGGTTTCAGGGCCCTCCTGGGGAAGGTTTTGGGCCCCCCGAGGGGGGTTTTGGGGTCTCCCCGATTTTTGAGGACCCTCCAGATTTTGGGGACCCCCCGAGGGGGGGGGTTTGGGGTCTCCTCCTGAATTTTGGGACCCCCTCAAAATTTTGGGACCCCCAAATTTCAGGTTCCTCCCAGTTTTGGGCGCCTTCTGGGGAAGGTTTGGGTCCCCCTCACGGGGGGGTTTTGGGGTCTCCCCGATTTTTGGAGACACCTCAGATTTTGGGGACCCCCCAGGGGTTTTTTTGGGGTCTCCCCCCTCACCTGGAGTTCTTGACGTGGCGGATGATGAATTCCCAAACCGGGGCCGGAGTAGAGTCTGGGGGGGGAATAAGAGGAGACCCCAAAATGATCTCAAATTAACTCAGAGACCCCAACCCGCCCAGGGACCCCCCCAGGGGCCCTAAAATTACCCCCAGGGACTCCAAAATTGCCACAGAAACCCCCAAATAACCCCAAGAGACCCCAGAACCCAACCAGGGACCCCAAAACTACCCCAAGGGACACTAAACCCACCCAAGGACCCCCCAACCCTCCGCAACGGACCCCCAGAGCCCCCTCAGGACCCCTCAAAAGCCCCCCAGGATCCCTCGATTGGACCCCAAACCTCCTCCAAAGACCCCCAGGACCCCTCAGTTGGACCCCAAACCCCCTCCAAAGACCCCCCAGAACCCCTCAAGAGGACCCCAAACCCCCTCCAAAGACCCCCAGGACCCCTCAAGGGGACCCCAAAGCCCCCCGAGATCCCTCAGAGCCCAAATCCCCCCCTCAGGGTGGTCCCAGCCCGTGGCCGGGGGGTCCCTCCTGAGGCTCCCCCGCAGCTCCCCGGCCCCGGGGGTGTTCAGGGGGGATCCCGAGGGCGTCCTGACCTGCGGAGCACGGCCGGGGGGGGGACGGCGGGGAGCTGCAGCTCCATCTCGGTGCGGAGCCGCCGCCATTATGGCGGCCTTCCGTGAGGGGGGAACGGAAAGCGCGCCAAAACCGGCGCGGGGCATCACGGGAGTTGTAGTTCGAGAGGCCCTGACTCTGTCCCAGCTCCCAGAGCAGGGTGCTCCCAGCACTCTGGGGCTGGCTGGGGGTGCTCCTGGCTAGAGGACACTCCGGATGGGAGGGATGCTCCGGATAGGAGGGATGCTCCGGAGGCAGGGATGCTCCGGATGGGAGGGATGCTCCGGAGGCAGGGATGCTCCGGATGGGAGGGATGCTCCGGAGGCAGGGATGCTCCGGATGGGAGGGATGCTCCGGAGGCAGGGATGCTCCGGATGGGAGGGATGCTCCGGAGGCAGGGATGCTCTGGATAGGAGGGATGCTCCGGATGGGAGGGATGCTCCGCAGGCAGGGATGCTCCAGAGGCAGGGATGCTCCGCAGGCAGGGATGCTCTGGATAGGCAGGGATGCTCTGGATAGGCAGGGATGCTCCCAGGCAGGGATGCTCTGGATCAGAGGGATGCTCCCAGGCAGGGATGCTCCCGGGATGCAGGGATGCTCCCAGGCAGGGATGCTCCCAGGCAGGGATGCTCCCAGGCAGGGATGCTCCCGGGATGCAGTCCGGAGCAGTGCTGGGGGCTGAGCGCTGCCGCCCCGTGGCACCGGCGTCACTCGTGCCTGTGCCTGTCACTGCCGAGGTGCTCAGCAACACCCCCGAGTCTGGGAAACAGGGAGGGGCTGGGAAGCCCAACCAACCTGTTCCCGGAAAAGCACAGCACACGGAAACACCCCTGACCGGTAACTCAGGAGCTGGAGTTGGAAGGATTCAGAAATTCGGAAATGGGATTTAGAACAAAAACAAGTTCCTGAGTTCTGACCAGAATAAGAAGAAATATTGTAATTCAGCCGAATTTGCAAGTCCAAGGTAACGATCTGCTGTGTTTACACAATCCCTAGTTACTGCCACAGATCAAGACCTGGATTGAAATCCCCTTTGTCCCTGGCCAAGAGCTGCTGCTGTTGGAAATCACTCTTCTGCTGTACTTCCTATTTCATTCATTTCAGCTTCCAGCCATACATGCACAACAGAGGGCATTCTACATCTCCCTAATTGAACAATACAACTCAATTAAATAGGAAAAGTCATTCTTGGACTAAAACCCCCTTAGGCAAATGTTCTGCTCTTATGCTAAGGAACTCTTTTTATAAAGCTGGGACTTGAGTGCTGCTCAGTTGTATTTATTTTTTAATTTTTTTTTCCAAAAGACTGGGAGACTAAGACCAAGAAGATTCATCCATTCATTCATGACAAAAAGAGACAAAGTTTTGACTCCCTTTTACAAGAGCAGCAGAGGGGTTAGAGCAGAATTCAGTTTTTCTGCTGATTGTTCATCAACAGAGCCCAGGAAAGGGGAAATCACCCAAACCATGGCTGTGGATCAAGCTGGAGAAAGATCTCTCTGCTCAAGGTTTTATAGCTCTGGCTGGAAAGATGGAAAAAAGAGAGATGAGAACCACTAACCCAGAGCAGGGAAAGCCCTGTGCCCTGCCCAGCCTCAGCATCCTGGGGGCTCTCCCACATGGCCAAGTGGCTTTTCACCCTCCTGTCACTGGAAGCACAGAGGTGGAAATGTGTTTAATTGTTTGACTGTGATGCTGTTTGTAAGTATTCTCAAATAAGGCGTTGAATAAACCCTGCACATACAGATGGGTTAAAAAAACCCAGGTAGGTTATTGCTACTCAGCACTATTCAGAATAAATGACCATCCATAATTGGGGTTTTACCAATACAAACCCCAATTTTGCTATTTGTTCCCTTTCTTAGTCTTCCAGTTGACTGAAGTGACCTGCTAAGCTTTATGCAGGTTGGGTTTAAGCACCACAGATCTTCCTGGGCTAAAGATTTATATAAATGAAGTATAAACACAGATTTGGTCTGACCAAGTTCTTACACTGAGAGAACTGCTGGAAAAGTAAATCAGTCTGGAGTTAAAAGCAGCTCAGGATTAACTGGTCTCCTGAAACTCTGGAGGAAGCCAAGCCTAAAAGTTGGGTCTTCCAAGCACATCTTGGCTCAGCAAACACGGATGGGGAAAGGCCAAATGTGGGGGTTAATAACAGTTGTGTCCACTGAGTCCCACTGAAACCACTGGGAAACCAAAGAGGAGGAAAGGTGCTGAAGTACCATCCTGGCACTTCTAATGTGTAGTCAATATATCTCAGGAGAGCTTGGGACTGGATGGATCCAAATTTTTATTCATTAAAAGATGTTTGGCCACATCTGAGATACCTCCAGCAAAACCTTCAAGTGACAGAGGATCAACTGCTGATCAACTGGGAGCTTAGGGAAGAATTAACAGAAGAAACAAATGTGGTAGAACCTCATTTTTGAACCCTTGAGTTCTTTAAGTCAATTAAAAAAATAATCCCTGTAATTTTAAAAATGAAATGGTTGTAGATTCTTTTTTTGGGTTCCCCCAAACATTTTTTTTTGAATAGTGCAGTGAGTGTATCAGTTCCCTCACTGGAGGCCACGTGCTGGTACATCTATGCTGTAATTATGTACCTAAGCAAAAACCCCAATTTCCTTTGCAGGAAGGAGGCAAAACCTGCTCCTTTTGCTCTGCCTTCCGAAAGCTGAATTCTGCACGTGACACTCACTGCACTGTTTTCCAAACACTGTGACCTCGTTGTTCTGAGGCCTTGATTTTCATTGATTTAACCCAGCAATTCAAAACACCCCAACAAAAGCTTTCTCTTTCTTGGTGTCACGTTGAAGCAGATTTTTTTATCCTGCAGGTTAAGATAAAATGATTGTATCTAGGGAATGGCAAAGAATGAAGTTATTTCCCAAAAACAACACCCTGATCAGTGTATAGAATACTGCTGTCTTGGTTCATAATGAATGTGAACCTCCTTTGTATTTAGATTACAAGCAGATTTGACACCAGAGCTTTTGTTTTAACATCCCCAGTTTTGGGGGATTGTTGCCGGAACAGAGAGATTTCTCTGCACAGTTTTTCCTGCCCTCTGTAGGCCTTGCTTGCCATGGGAGTGCCAAGCGTGGATTGTTTATACTTATGGACTGGGGGAAAATCTGGGAGGTTTAGACTTGTTAGCTGGGGGTCTGATTATAAGGTTTGAGAACATAATATGTTTCTAGTGAGAAAAACCTTGAGAAACTGGAGATAATGAAACACCTGCAATGGGGACAAACTTTGTGTAGGGACATTTCTGAGCACTCTCCAAGGCTTTTGCAGATGAAAACATTGTGCTCCTAGTCTGAGATAGTCCCAGGGATTCATTTTACCAAGGCCTGGAGTGGCAGAACATGGGGCAATGGATTTAAACTGACCTAGGGGAGCTTGATATTGGATAAAATGAAGAAATATTTCCCAGCTCTGCTGTGCCCAGAGGGGCTGGGGCTGTGGTGCCACTGCCCAGAGCAGCCTGCCCTGGGCAAGGCTGTGGGGCCAGAGCCGCCTGGGCTGTGCTGGGGAGAGGCCCTTGGGGGTGGAGAGAGCTCAGGGCAGGTGGGAGAGCTTGGAGGGAGCTGGGCTGGGCTGGAAAGGGCCTGGCAGAGAAAGCCCTGGGTGTGTCTGTGACACTGTGTGAGCGTGCAGGGGGAGGACTCGGCCCAGGGGGTTGTGGTGCAGAGCCAGGGCCCGGGAAGGGATTGAAAACATGCAAGTGCCAGCGAGAGGAGGCTGCTCTGTGCCCCTGGTGGCAGGAACAGAGCAGGAAGGTGGCCCAGGACAGTTGTCCCCCCCAGCCTCTCTCCCCAGCCATTGCCAGCACTGGCTGCTCAGCCCAGGCTTAGGGGTGAGTTTTGCTGGGCCCCCTCCATCCTCCTGCTGGGCTCAGGGCCTGTGCCAGGGCCATGGCCAGCCCTGCCCGGCCTCTCTGCTGGCCCAGAGCCCGGCAGAGCCTGGAGCAGGGCTGGCTGTGAGGCCCCACAGGGGACACGGCCTGTCCAGGAGCTCGGAGAGGGGCTGAACGGGAAGGCCCCGGGTGCCCAAGGCCAAGGACTGCCCTGGGCATCCCGACAGAGGGACCCTTCCCCACCCTGAGTGCTCCTGTGCTGGGCTGGGCCTGCCCAGGGGGCTGTGGGACCAGCTGGGAGGCACAAAGGGGCCACGGAGCCGCTGCCAGGGGGGGACAGCAAGGCAGGGACAGACAAGGGATTGCTGGGCATGGCCTGGGCTGGGCAGGGGCACTGTGGCAAAGGCAAAGCTCCCCTGCAGTTGGGGCTGCAGGAAAGTCCAGAGCCCAAAGAGCCTCAAGGGCTGTGTTGGACACCAAGGCTGCAGCAGGGAAATGCAGGGCTGCTGTGCAATGGGGAGGGGGTTTAACTCCAGCAGACACTGATGTGGTGCTCAGGGACTCCCTGGCTTCTCTGCCTGAGGCTTTCCTGGAAAGGTCTTTCGGGCCTCTGTGCTCAGGGAAGGGCTTCAGGGAGGAGGAGAGCACGTCTGGGCAGGAACCTGCTGAAATCCCCGAGGGACAAATGGCAGTGTGTGCCCCTGCAGGGGACTCAGCCTGGCCATGGCACAGCTGGAGCTGCCTGGCTGGGAGCAGCCCTGTCAGAAGCTGTGGGTGGGCAGGGAGCTGGGCAGGAGGCAGCCGTGTGCCCTGGCAGCAAGGGAGGCCAGGAGCACCCTGGGCTGTGGCACCAGGACATCGAGGACGGGCATTCTCCAGGTCCCTGTGGCTGAGGAAAACTGAGGGAAGAGCTGGGATGGTTATAAATTGTATCGTGTTTAAATTTTGTTTGTGGGCAATGAAGAGAAACTTTGTGTGGCTCTAAGTCTCACCAGTTCCAGCCCTCCCAAAGAACCCAAACCTGAGGAGTTGTGGTTCCCACTCCAGTGGCACTTGGAGCTCCCTCCGTACCCAGAGCACAGAGCTCCCTTGTGCCACAGAGTCCTTGGAAATGGAGGGATTAAGGACACAGCACAGGCTGTGGGGAGCAGTTGCAGGGCATGGTCAGGGCTTTGGGGTGGTTGTGAGCCCAAGGCAGGACCCGGCACTTGGCCTTGTTGAACCTCCTCCAAGTGGCCTGGGCCCATGGATCCAGCCTGTCCAGATCCCTGTGCAGAGCCCTCCTGCCCTCCAGCACATCAACACTCCCCCCAGCTTGGTGTGCCCTGGGAACTGCCTGAGGCTGCACTCGATGCCCTTGTGCAGATCATTGAGAGAGAGATTGAAGTGCCCTGAGCCCAGTGCTGAGCCCTGGGAACACCCCTGGCTGGAACTCCATTGCCCACCACTCCTTGGGCCTGGCCATCCCCACAGAAGTTTCCCCAGTGAACAGGTGCTGCAGAATGTCTTGGATAAAGGTCCTGTAAGCCCAGAATATTGGGAGGAGTGCAGATTCAGCTCTGCACAGCACAGAAATTCTTTCACTTTCTCCCTTTTCCTCCCTCTGTGGATCGAGGGAACTCGT